GCGGGAGTCCGCGGTGCTGGCTGCTCTTCCTCCCTATCTCCGGCGGTACATCAGCATGAGCCCGCCGTAGATATTCTCGCGGCCCTGCAGCAGGACGAGGAGGACACGTCAACTCCTGGTCGGCGGCGAGGGCGGCGTCGATCGTAGGGCGTCCCAGCTGGACGGCCGGCAGACGAAAGTATGAGCAGATATTCTCGCGGCCCTGCAGCAGGACGAGGAGGACACGTCAACTCCTGGTCGGCGGCGAGGGCGGCGTCGATCGTAGGGCGTCCCAGCTGGACGGCCGGCAGAGGAAAGTATGAGCCCCGTCCGGGGTACTCTGGACTCTCCTGATTCTTTGGATGCAGCATCCCCTCCTAGTGAAGCGGCGGCAGTCGGTCTCCAAAGCGCACCAAAAATCAGCGCCTCTTTCCTCACTTCTCCCGTTGTTCGGCATTGTCCCACCAGCTCTCACCAATCGGTGACACCAAAGCGTGATACAGTAAACCAAAGAAAGAAAAAGAAAAAGAAAGCAAGCAGAGTGCAAATAAAACCAAGCAAAGAAACATTAAAGCGGACGATAGGCGGGTGACTTAATACTAAGGAATCTGTGCGCCTTAACCTAGGACTGACGTTTGGAGCGTAAACAGTGAATTCCTACAGCCCTCGTCTTGCGGGTCGTTTGTGGCGTAGATTGTCAAAAATTCACGTCACAGTATATACATAAGGCAGTAGCAAGTAAGTTTAATAATAGGTTCTAAGCAATAATATAATAATAAGTATGTAAGTAAAAAACGTATAATAATAAATGTAGTGTTAGTATGTAAGTAAAAAAAAAAACGTATAATAATAATAAATGTAATGCTAGTGTGTATAAGTCTAGTTTTTTTTTCATGTCAGTACAACCTCCCCGTAGCCGTAGCGTACCAGGGAGTCCCTGTGCCCCGCGTAATATAGCACACAGCCAGGGCATCCACCAGGTGCGTGCTCGCGAAACACGCTCCACGCACAAGTCCTACAACACCCCACATTAAATACTATCATGGTATCCAGCAATAAGTAATGGATGCTGTGGGCCGTGTATGCAGCCTGATTGTGCGCGGGTAGTGCGAGCACGCACTCGATGCATAGTTCCTCATCCCTGTGTGCGTATATACAGGGTGTCCCAGAATTGCTTTTGGACCGGAAAGTGGGCGATGCCTGGAGGTGCCCTGAGTACCCTCCCGCAAACCGTTTGCCAAAATTCGGGATAGTTTTTAAATGAGAAGCATTTAAGTGCGACCAATCAGAACGAAGGATTTCCGCGGATTCATTCGCGGATGCCAAAGATCGCTGCTTCGCAATAGCTTCCGACAAATTCCGCGCTTAGCAATTGTTTCATAGCCCGAGCGAGCGTCATAGGATTCGTTGACAAACTCCCAATATGGGCATGGGCGTGACTTAGGCTGGCGCAGCAGCTACACGTGCAACGCGCGATCGGCAATTGTTTCGGGATATGCATTCAGCCAGACGAAAACCGGTACACGGTGTCCAAAACGTCATGCACTGAAATTTATAGCAGTCCGGAGGAAAACAGATTATTAAAGTAAGAGGGAGTCGGGAGGGTGGGTGGTTGGACTGATGGATTAAATTTAAAATTAATCGAAAACTAAGCATAGAAGTATTATTTTTTCGTCTTATGAATAGCCGTATCGAATTTCCAAGACATCGCGATTGCTGATTTCAAAGTTATAGAGTACTCATCGATTCTGGAGACTGTAAAAAATACGTAAAATAGGAAAATAGATTAGGAGAGAAACGCATGAATCCCAAGAATCGGTATACCAATTTGCAGCCCTTTGCGACTTCCGGTGGCAAAGTTACGCAACACTTGTCGACCCCGGATCTTGTGAAAAATACGCCAAATTGAAAAAATGGACTAGGAGCGAAATGCAAAAACACGTATCCCTTTTTTTCGTCCCAAGAATCGGTATACCAAATGGCAGCCCTTTGCGACTTCCGGTGGCAAAGTAACGCAACACTTGGTCCAAAAGCAATTCTGGGACACCCTGTATATCCGTGAAGGCAGAGGCCGTTATGTAGGGCCTCGAAAAAACAAGTCGTCCGGCCTGGGCGATGGGGTGTCCCGGTCCCCACCCACGCCGTCTTCACCCCTTTTGGGAGCTACTCGTGGTGCCATTTCTTCTGTGTATTAAAAGTGTCATAATGTTTTAAATGAAAAAAATTTGAATAAACGTATTGTCTTAAAATTATAATTATAACACCTACCGCTCCAATAGCCGGGCCCGAATGTATTACGCCGTTAGCTGCGGTGCTGCTGCTGCTGCTGCTACGGGTCAATGTCTACAAATAATTGCGAGAGGCGATAGAAAGACAATACTTTTTTAATCAAACAAAAAAACGAGTACTAGCTTAAAGTTGTTATACATACCACTTTCTTCTTTTTTAAATGTCCTGCAAAAACAGGTGTGCTTGTCGGTCAGTCCGGTTACTTGTCTACAAATAAAAGTAAAAGATGCCACATATAATTTTTTTAATCAAATAAAAAGAGGGTACCAGATTCAGCTTAAGGCAGTTATACGTACCACTTTTTTTTAAACTTCACTTTTTCACTTTCACTTACTCTGTTTTCTTTAATTGACCTTGCGCCTATTACTTGTCGTCACTGTACTGACAAGATGCTGCGAAGATGGTTCACGGGTCACCGTCTTTTTCCCCACCATGACCATACATTTTTGCATAGTTGCAAATAAGAGATACCCGTAGTAGGGGTTTACGCTGGCCGGGATTTCATAGGGTTGGTCAAGACAGTGGTACCCCCACGCCAACCGTATTTGCGCATCATTCGATAGATTGAGCAAAAGAGGGGCACCAGCATTCCAGAAGCAGCTGCGTTGTATGTGGAGGGTTCAGCCCGAGTAAAATATTAGGGGTTGGATATCCACCCATCGATAGTTAAAAGTATCGAAAAATAAACGGCAATGTATACGATACCTCTATATTATAAGGTATTATTTACAAAAAAACACTGTGTTCTACTTTACCATGTTACCCCCTTAGGGCAATTAAAAAATTACTGACCGGGGGTCACTGAATAATTACCGACCGTGATAGGCCCCTGGGGCTATGCAGCGACGCTGCAGGGTTTCGGGCCTTAGGACCGCATGGTGGGGGTCACACAGGGGGAGGGGGCAGGAGGACCACCTGGGGCGACGTTTGAAGACCCGGACACATAGACGAGGGAGTGGCGCCGTAGTGCAGCGCGGGGGGACCCAACGCGATGCACTCTATGACTCACCGGCATAGTGGTGGGGGTTTCTTGTGACGGCCAGGAGTGATGTGTATCTACTTATGGGTGCACACATTCAAAGAGAAAAACACATATTCATTCTTTTCATCCCAAGAACCAGTATGCTAATTTGCAGCCCTTTGCGACTTCCGGTGGCAAAGTTACGCAACACTTGTCGACTCTGAATTTTCAAAGAAATACGTGATATTGAAAAAATTATCTGAGAAAGGAATGCAAAAATACGTATCCTCTTTTTTCTTCACTGGAATGAGTATGCCAATTTTCAGAGCTTTACGAGTTACGATGTGAAAGTTACAGAGTGTTAGCCGATTTTTGATTCTGGATTTTTAAAAGATGTGGAGGATACATAGGTGGAGGCATACGAGAGGTATAGAGTAGATAATAGTATAGGAGAGGTATAGGAAGAGAATGGGCAAAGATATACGAAAATTATGGGAAAGGTATACACGGAACTTATGCGTACGACTTATGCCTAGCTGTAATTGAAAAAATTTATTGAAGAGAGGAAGTGTGTTATAAAGAATTAAACCTGAAATTTTGTTAAAACATTTATTGTATAAATTAATTAAAAAGTATAATTTAATTAATGTAATTTGATGACCCATTTTGCTAACGCAAAGTAAATAATGAATTTAGGTTTATGTTTGCAATGTGTTAACGCATTATAGAAATGTACAAAAGTGTTAAACCGGTAAGTAATGACAATATAATAACTTAGATTAGTGAAGTTAATAATAATTAAAAATAAATAATAATAATCGCAGTTATGTTATAGAATAGGTTATTGGTTATAATAATTATCATTTAGAACTTCCAGTATCTTCATTCATTGGATTGAACAAGACCGTAACTTTGAAAAAGGGATAGCGAATAAAATATGATGTACATCATATGTTTTACCATATTATGTATAATTTAATCTTTATCACTAATTTGCCGTTACAGTCTTGTCCAATCCAATAAATGAAGATACTGGAAATTCTAGATGGCCGTCTCCGCTTGTTGTCCTCAGGGCAATTAAAAAATTACTGACCGGGGGTCACTGAATAATTACCGACCGTGATAGGCCCCTGGGGCTATGCAGCGACGCTGCAGGGTTTCGGGCCTTAGGACCGCATGGTGGGGGTCACACAGGGGGAGGGGGCAGGAGGACCACCTGGGGCGACGTTTGAAGACCCCGACACATAGACGAGGGGGTGGCGCCATAGTGCAGCGTGGGGAGACTCAACGTGATGCAGGGCGACGTTTGAAGACCCGGACACATAGACGAGGGAGTGGCGCCGTAGTGCAGCGCGGGGGGACCCAACGCGATGCACTCTATGACTCACCGGCATAGTGGTGGGGGTTTCTTGTGACGGCCAGGAGTGATGTGTATCTACTTATGGGTGCACACATTCAAAGAGAAAAACACATATTCATTCTTTTCATCCCAAGAACCAGTATGCTAATTTGCAGCCCTTTGCGACTTCCGGTGGCAAAGTTAGAGAACACTTGTCAACTCTGGATTTCGACTACAAAATGTATGTCCGGGAACACGGAAATCTATACCAGAAATACTTCAACTTCCAACTTATAATAAGAACTAGTATTGTAATATGTTTTAGCCACCGTGTGTGGGTTTGTGTTTGACTGAACGCTTGCTTCAAAACAATTGCGAGCCGTGAGTTAAGCACGAAGCTGCTGCACAAAGCTAAGGCGTTCCGCCAATGCAGGAAACCTATCAAAAGTTACCAAAATTCAAACACAAATATCTCTATTATTTTTTCTTTCTCTACAACTTTTGCATTAAACTTTTCTCGATATTATTTGAAGTGGCAAAGATAATTTTTGTTATTTACGAACGGAAGTTAAACGAACAATAATAATACGCCCATTCAATAGTCATCACATCAGGGACCCTATTCTCGAAATCGTGCCACAATTGTGACATGCCACTTTGAGTAGTTCCGAATATTACTGTGATGGAGCTCTCTGGCAATTTTGAGATGAAGTAGGACTAGAGATGAATAGGGAGATTGCCAATGGGCCGATATTCTTGAAACCAATTTTATTTTAGAGTAAACGCGCCACCTGAGCGGTGGGCCGTCGAACCATACCCACGTTTTTGATTGGTCGAGTATATATAGATATACTACGCGTGATATTCGTGAGCTCTGTGAGACGCATGGATTATACCGGGTGGCACTGTAAAGCGTGTGTTTTGTATTGTCGACGCGTCACCTGGACGGAGAAGCTTCGAACCATACCCACGTTTTTGATTGGTTAAGCGTATGTATCAGAGTACTCTAAGCAACCTCCAAACGTGTATAACAACTGAAATACAGTTTTCCCAATCTGTACGTCACGGTAACTAAATATCATACGTGCATGGTAACGAGATAACGTGCGAGAGTCTCGGGTTCGAGACCCGATTATTATTACTTTTTTTTATTCATGAACAATGCTTATTGAATCTATTAATTAACTTGGAATGTAACAAATGCATGATTATATTATACTATATACATTTTATTATATTATACAGTCGTGTCTATTTTTATGCCGTTGATACGTTCCACAGAAAACAGCATATAAAAAATATAAGTGAAGTAGAAGGAGGAACCCGGAATTTTCATGAACCCTCAAAACCGCATTAAAAAGCCATCTGCAAATGGATTTTACACATTGAAATGCTATATATAGATATACATATATTCCGCATATAAAGATCGTGAGGGATAGAATACATGGGTATGTCCAGTTTATTGACATATAGTGTGGACTACGCGATCCCTACCTTAGATCCTTTGAAAAAGTGTCCGCTCAAATAAACAAAGAGGAAATGAGGTGGCGGCCAATGGTTCTCCTTTTTTAATGTTCCCATTGCCTGTTTTATATACTCTCGTACTACAGCTGCTGGTTAGAAGATAGGGCTTGGCCGCCACCAGTCGCTATCTTTTTCTTTCAGCCGACCATTTTTTCTGTCTATGCGTAGTCCATACTATATGTTGATGGACCAGTCTATTTGTACGGGTTCCTCCTTCTACTTCACTTATATTTTTGATATGCTGTTTTCTGTGGAACGTATCAACGGCATAAAAATAGACACGACTGTATAATATAATAAAATGTATATAGTATAATATAATCATGCATTTGTTACATTCCAAGTTAATTAATAGATTCAATAAGCATTGTTCATGAATAAAAAAAAGTAATAATAATCGGGTCTCGAACCCGAGACTCTCGCACGTTATCTCGTTACCATGCACGTATGATATTTAGTTACCGTGACGTACAGATTGGGAAAACTGTATTTCAGTTGTTATACACGTTTGGAGGTTGCTTAGAGTACTCTGATACATACGCTTAACCAATCAAAAACGTGGGTATGGTTCGAAGCTTCTCCGTCCAGGTTCGTGCTAAGTTGCCGTCGTGAGCTCTACGGTTTCTGAAAGTGGCGTCATCAGAACCCTCGATTCCAAGAATTTTTGCTCGATTCCGGGAATTTTGCATCACATTCCGGGAATTTTGCGCTCGATTCTAGGAATTACGCACGTCTGGAAGTGATAATGGTAATGTTTATGAATCTAATGGCATAGATGCATTTAAACCAATGATTGGAATAACTTGATGGTGTTGTTCTT